CTGGCACCCCTGCCACTGGGTCTCCTAAAACAGGAAGCAAAGAAATCTTGAAAACAAAAATCAAAACTGAAGGCAGCCCATTTCTGGTTTCAAACAACATTACAAAGCTGTATAATCAAAAAAATAGGACACTGACATAAATGGAATAAAGAGACCAGAAATAAATATATACAAGCAACTAGTATTTGAAAATTTCCCCAAGAATATACACTAGGGAATGAACAATCTCTTCAATGCTGTTTTGAAATCTGAATATCCAAAAGAACAAACAAGGAAACTTGACCCACATCTCACAGCACTCATGGAGATGAACTTGAAATTGATTCAAAACTTCAACTTAAGACCTCAAACCCTAAAACTTCAAAAGCATATACTCCAAAAGGAAAAAAAAAACCACACAGGACTATATCTAATTGAAAAGTTGTAGCAGAACCGTAGACAGAGAAGAAAGTGAAGATAGATACACATAACCAACAGGCAATCAAGGCACTGATCATCAGTAAATGCAAATAAAAAATCACAAATATCACCTCCTACTTGTTAAAATGGCTATGACCAAAAAGATAAGAGGTAACACGTTGGTGAGGATGTGCACAACATAGAACCCTTGAACACTGTTGCTGGGTGTGAATCAGGGAAGACATTATGGAAAATATTACGGAGGCCTCTCCAAAACTTTAAATTTTTTTTTTTTTTTTTCAACGTTTATTTATTTTTGGGACAGAGAGAGACAGAGCATGAACGGGGGAGGGGCAGAGAGAGAGGGAGACACAGAATCGGAAACAGGCTCCAGGCTCTGAGCCATCAGCCCAGAGCCTGACGCGGGGCTCGAACTCACGGACCGCGAGATCGTGACCTGGCTGAAGTCGGACGCTTAACCGACTGCGCCACCCAGGCGCCCCTACCTCTCCAAAACTTTAAACAGAACTACCATATAGCCCACCATTGCCATCTCTATATATGTATCCAAAGAAAAGAAAATCAGTATCCACACAGTGTCTGTGCATACACATCCACTACAGTATCATTCAGAAAAATCAATATACGGAAACATGAATAGGTGTGTGTGAGAAGATACAGTCAGAAACATTTAGTACACATATATGTAGTAATAATTGGTGATAAAAAAGAAAGGAAAATGGACACTTGCCACCACATGGATGAAATGGAAGACAGTACCCAAAGTGAAATAAGCCACAAAGCAAAAGAGAAGTGCTGCACGGTATTTCTTACTCAAACTAATAAAGATAGAAACTAGAATTCCAAAGGCTAAGGACTGGGAAAAATGGAAATGCTGGGAATGGATACACAATTTCATTTATAAGATGAATGTGAGGATCTAAGAGACAGCATGTTGACTACACTTGTGAATACTGTACTGTACACTTACAATTTGCTGAGAGAGTAGATATTAAGCTTTCTCATCACTAACCAAAGAAAAGGTAATTATGTCAAGTAATTGTTATGTTGATTACCTTCATCTTGGTAAAAACTTCATAAAGTGTAAGTGTATCAAACTATAATGTAATAATACACTTTCAATAACATAATTTTATTTGTCAGTTGTACCTTAACAAAGGTGAAGGGAGTAGGGGGAGGTAGGAATACAGATGTAAACACTATAAAAGCACCACACTGGATAGTCTTGAGAAGTGGCCAGAGTCCACTTAAGTATGACCAAGCCAATGTGTGCAATTTCTGGCAAAGGCAGGCACAAGTACTGGCTTCGAGAGGAAGAGATCAAAACCCAGGCCACAGAAATGGCAGTGATCTGAACAAACAGACCCAGCAAGGGAGAGAGCAAGCAAGGTGCAATCAATAATCCTCAAGGCATGACTACTGACCTTGAATCTTACACTATGAAGGTTCGGCACAGAGAGCACTGGAACGGCAGGGGAGAGAAAAGGACACACCAACAACCCAGCCTTAGCAACAAATGCAACCACCACGGAAGCTGGGGGAGCAAGCAGGGCCCACAGTCCACACCCAAGAGGTAC